TCAAGCATCTGATGAAAGCTCAGGTGCCTCTTCCGAGACAATGCATGCCGATGCTGTGCCCCATAGTTTCAGCACGTTTGGACTCCCTAGCACCCCAGATTCATAATCCGTACCCTGGAGCGAAGGCGTCTTCTGGGTGTTAGAGAGCGAAAACAGCTAACAGCCCAGGAAGGGCTAGCGCTCGGTAAGTACCTACTCTGTACCAAGCACTGTGCTGGGCACCCAACATAAGGTCCTCTCAAGTTTTCCTCACAAGCCCCAACAAGGGGGAGTGCGGGAGGAAACAGGCTCAGAAGCTTCCAGCACTGGCTTCAAGTCACAAGGTGTGGTGAGTGGGTGGGGCAAGGGTGACTGGGGAATGGAGGCCTGTGCTGGGGTGGGTCTGGGGGACTCCACTGCTCTGTGGCAGAGGGGACAGGCCCAGGGCTTGGCGCCCAGTAAGGTGTGCCGAAGACAGGGGTGGGCGAGGGGTGCGAGGCAGCCCCGGCCTCTGAAGTTTGGGTACTGGTGAGGAAGTCCAGGCAGATTTGAGAGGAGCTGAGACTCCTCTAGAAGGAGACTCCTCTAGAAGGAGTCTCCCCTTCTGTGGCCTGCCTTTCCCAGAGGATCCTGCCAGGACAGGAGCTAGAGCGGGAAGCCACGGGGTGGTAGGGGCCCCAGGGGTCCCGGCCCATCTCTCTCTCCTGGGATCGCCTTCCCCATTTCCATGACAGGATTAAGGACTGAAAAGGTGGACGGCAGTCTGCTCCGGGAGTGGGAGGTACCTGTGGGGGGGTGGGAGTGGGGGCTGGAGGGGACTTCCGACAAGAGCTGCCACAGCAGATTCTGAGGCAGAAAATCCTATTTCTCAGGCCTTAATTCCAGTCAATTCCAGTCAAAGGGCTGATAGGCATCAGCTGGCAGTAATTTGTGCAGTTTATCTGCTCTTTTCACCTTCTATCGGTCCTTCACTGACGGGCAGGCCGACATGCCGCTGCTCGAGTGAGGAAATTAAAAGTTGATGCAATAATCCCAAATAAGAAGGATTTTATTAGGTAATATATACACTTTAGATGAGGCATGCTGGCCCGATACACTGATAGAGAGAGGCATACATGCTGGGAGCCGCAGATAAAGAGGAAGAGCGAGCAGAGTGGGCAAGGGTCCGACCGGAGGCCCCGGGCCGGCAGCGGCCAGGCTGGGAGCGGGGACGCCTGGGTCCTCGGGGCGAGGAAGCTGAACAGGCCACAGTGCTCCTCGGCCCTGGCCGGCCTGGGAAGTACGGAGTTAAGTCAGGGTTCCACACTGTAAAGCGACATGCAGGGCCTGGATCAAGGCATGGAAACCGATTAGAAGCCTGGAAAAATCAGGCTTGGAGCATAAGGGAATTGGCCTGCAGCAGAAAGAGCTGTGCTAGAGACATGGAAATGGGAGCACTCCTTTCAAGTGCGGGGGCAGGGAGGAAAGGCAGAGCTGTGTGCACGTGAGATAATTCTGTGGGCGCCCTGGGGGGAGTCCGACACCTCCCAGTTACTTCCTTGTCTGGCTCCTCCGAGCCCAGCCGTGACCCAAGTGGTGGGGCTCAGACCTGCCCCCTGGGAGCTCTCGAGGCGTTGGCTTTAGCAGTCTCACAGCGCCCAAGGGACAACCGACTCATAAGCACTGCGAGTGAATGCCTTGCCGGGGACTCTACACGAGCATGAGCATGCGCTCTGCCCTCCTTAAAACCCTCAGGGTAATGGAGGTCCTGCTGCAGACAGTACCAGTCCGTTTCCCAATGAGGCAGCGGTCCACAGTGTGTGGGATTTGGCCAAGGCGAGTGCCGGGACCTGCTCCGAGTTTCTCTGGCTACGTGGCCACCATAATGTCCTCACTTCAATCAACAAGTTAGCTTTGAGCACCTTCTCTGCACTCAGCCCTGGGCCCGATGTTCTGGGAGACCAGGTCCCAGAGACTCAGGCTTCTCGATTACCAGAAGCTCCAAAATAACCCACCCGCACATTGGTGAGCATCATAGGTGCAACTATAATTCAGCAGTAAATTATGCAAGCCAGGGAGAGTCCACTCTACCAGAGCGGAGGGGAAAGAAATGGCTGGCTATGTCTGTGGGCTGGTGGGGATGAAGCCAAGGGAAAAAAATTCTAAGAAAGGTGGCCAGTAAGCTGGGAACCAACAGATGGGCAGATTTTGGATTGGTGACAGGAACAGGCATGAGGGTGATGAGGATGGTAGGATGGTGAGAGGACTGGTCTGACCAGGGCATTGTTCCTTTGATTGTTCGTTCGTTCATTCATTCATTCATTCATTCATTCATTCATTCATTCATTCATTCCACAAACACATCCTTAGCACCCCTGATGTGCTATGCCCACAGCAGACCCCATCCCTGCTGAACTATGCGTCCGGTCCAGCAGGGAAACAGAGGCTGAGCAAGCCGTCCAAAGGTGCTGAGTGCTAAGAAGGGGATGTCCAGGGGCCAGGGGCAGTTGGAAGGCCCCACCTCCTCTGAAAGGTCAGGGAAGGCCTCCCTGGGCTGAGAAGATGTGGGCGTAGCAAAGAGATTTTTGAAGGAGATAGCCTTTAGTCTCAAAAGCCGGAGGACCTGCTGTCCATGGACCACTAAGAAAGAGCAGATTAGGGTAGGGGGCATTGAGATGTCCCCCTCTACCCTAAATTCAGCTTCAGACACCTGCAACAGGAGACCAAAGGGCATCTTGCTTGTTAGATCTTCCAGCCCACACCTGGCCCCGATAAGGAAGTGGCTACCCCCAGACACCTGGAGACGGAAGCAGAGTGCTTTGAGGATGCCATGGTCAGGATGGACCACAGTCTCCAAACTGGAGGTCGGCCTTCCCTGGCCTGTGGTGGCCTACAGGTACATCTGCACCCTGGCCAAGGGAAGCCTGTCTCGCACTCATACCTAATTCTGTGAGCCCATGCAGGTGGGGGCCCTAACACCCACATGTTCAGGTGGGTGCCCTACTTGGCTCTCAATGTTTTGCGTCCTTCCTCTAAGCACGCTGAGTTCCCTCAAAAGGAAGGGCACGTTTTTCTTTCCATAAGAGCGGCCCCCCAAGCTGCATGTCCAGGGATTGTCGCTGCCCAGAGAAGCCAGCTTTTCTTAATTTAGCCGCGCAGTGTGTGTGTGCTTTACTCTAGTTTGTACAGAAGCATGGATGGCTACCAGACAAAGGCTGGGTGAGCCAAGCTGCCCACCCCCAGCCCCTGCCAAGCGGGCAGTAGCATGCTTGGTTCTTTAAGACCCCTGGTCACAACTGACTGGACCAGAGGCAGACACAGGGCCCAAGGGCAGCCAATTTATAGCCTGGCTGGAGCTCTGGGACCTTGTGACATGGCACAAAATCAGGAGCACAACCAATCAGATGCCTCTTTTGAAAACGTGGGACTTCAGAAATCCAAAGATGGAGCAGTTAGACGGGCAACTGGAGCTGTGTGCTCTCCGAGAAAAGCCAAGCCCGAGAGGACCGGGGAGTGGAGAGCACAGTGCTTCCATCTTGGGCAGAGCTAGTTGGCTGAGAGAGGCAGACTGACCCATGGGGAATGAGGCTGAGCCCAAATGTGATTTGGTAAGCCTGGCTGAGTCCAAGTCTGCTCTCCAGACCAGGCTGGTTCCACAGGCGTCCCTCTCATCCCACATCAATCTCTCTGAACTGCCCCCCTTAGTTTATACTAGTAAGTCTTTGTGTTTTTACCCCTTGGAGCCCTCTGGGGATGAAGTGAGAGGGTGAGGACATGGGACGTGGTGGTGTGGTATGAAGAGGAGGTTGGGCTTTCACTGGGCTAAGACACCCAACACTGACATGCATAGGGATTGAGGGGAGTAAGAAACGCCAAGGAAGAGCCTGTCTGGCCAAACAGGGCCCCCATCCCTAAGAGAAGCTCAGAGGGGAGTCCCACGAGGGCCAGAGAGCGTCTTACCGGAGGAGAATGCTCGTAGATGTTAGTGCTGTAAGGCAGGTTGATGAAGACGGGGTCCATGTCCTGGACATCTGTGATGATGATGGCTAAGTTGGCCAGGGTGGACAGAGGCCTGGTCTTGTCTTGATCCTTAGAGGACAAAGAATACACAGCCTGAGGGGGTGACACTATTGACATGCGCACATGCGTGTGCACACACACACACATCTGAACACATATGACACCCATGTGCACAAACATGTGTGCCCATGGATGCAAGTGCTCCGGGGGAGCACTTAGCACACAGAAGTTCGAGAACTCGAAGAACCCACAGTGATCTTTGACCTGTGCAGGAAAACATAAACAGGGCCCCCCAGTCCCGGCAGAAGGTGGCTTGTCCAATGTCACAAAGCAGGGCTGGACAGAGCCAGATCTCCTGCCCCCAGCCCAGCCTCGGCCTGATCATCCCGGACGTGCCACGGGTGGGATGACTGGCTTGGGGTCAAGAGATGGTGCTGTCCTTAGCAACTTCTCTTGATTCAGACAGAGGGCCACTGGCCCTCGCCATACCCACTTCCTGCCCCCTCTCACCCCGGGGCAGCAAGGGCATGACCAGGCTGGTGTTCCTCAGAACAAAGGCCCTCTGACAGCAGAGGGGGCCACTCTGAGACCTGCACCCCTGCCCTGCACCCAAGGTTTACTGGTCAAGCAAGTTTTCTGGCAGAACCAGCAGGGGGAGCTCCAGGGCCTGTGACATTTGGGGGACTCCAGGAAGAAATCCTGAGAGGTCATGCGGGCCTCCGCCTGCGGGCCAGGCAGGCAATGTTTAAACCCTCCTAGTCAGTTGGAAATTTAGCCTTAGGAAAGCTCGTCAAGAAAGGAAACCAGAAACACAGCTTCCATAGCCCTAACGTACACAGCCCACCATGATAAACTGTTTAAATAGCCCTCTGTTGTTGAATGACAATAACCCATGGGAATAGACTCCGAGCTAAGAGCAGATTACGTAGCATGCACAGTGCCAGCACCTGTTTGCTTCTGTGGATACCATGTGCCCAGTATTCAGATATATTAACGGAGACTCAGAGAGGTTGTTCAGATACGAGACTCACAGAGGTAACTTGCCCAGAGTCACACAGTGGGTAAGTGTGTAGCCAGGACTCAACTCAGATCCTTCTGCAATGAAAACCTGCCCTAACTGCTTTGATCTGGGGCCCTAACATCAGCTCAGGCCCTGACTTGCTGGGTTGCTTCGAATAGATCCTCTTCCCTCTTGGGGTCTCAATTTCCTTCTCTGTGAGATGAAGGGGCTCAATGCAAGGACCTCCATGGACCCTTGGGCCTGTAAATTCTCTGGTCTTGGATTTGAAGAGTGACTGCACTCTGATTAGGTCTTCCTTGGTCTGGGGGGACCGGAGCGATGCAAAGCATTCCTCCCATTACAACAAGCCTAGAGCCTGTTCCTGCCCTCCGGATACAGAAGTGCAGCAGAGCCTTTGGGAAGGGAAGGCAGATTGTCCTAAGAGTCCTCAGGGGCAGCCATGGAGAGGGCAAGGGACTTCGGGGTGAGGACTGGATACAGCAGGGTGGAGGAGGTCTGGATGCAGGAAGAGCCACTGGGGAGACAGCCTCTCGGGCTCCAAGACAATGGAAACCCACGGCCCAGGCTTGGGGACTGCCCCTAGTGTGAGAGCTCTTGGTCAGGGACCTGAACAACCAGGCAGACAGGGCCAGAGTAGGAGGAACAGAAGTCCCTTGACCTTCTGAGCAGGGGAGGCCAGTGGTTCTCATTTGCCATTACCAGGCTTTGCGTGTAGGTGGCTTTGTCCAGCCTGGCACCTGCCCTCCCTGTCCCACAGTCTCAGGGCCACAGCCCTGCTCCTGCCACAGATCCCCGCATCCCAGCTTACCTCGGACTCTGGGGCTGGGGAAAGGGGATGGCAGTGGACATACCTGGCTGGGCAGGCACCCCGCCAGGCTCCCAGCTAGCACTCTCAGCAGCCGCTCCCCGGGAAGTCCTCCCATTTCCCCACCTGCTGCCCACCCAGGGGTGGCTGGGAGCCCACACTGCTCCCTGCGATGCCCCACAGGAGAATCTCCTTGGGGAAATGTCCAGCAGCCAAGGGCACAGCACCAGGCCTGAGGGGGGCCGCGCTTCAGGTGGGGGAGCCATCCGTACAGAAGGGCCCCTCCTGTTCCGCAGCTTCCAGGCCTGCTCGCCAGCAAGATTAACAGCAATTTAACTGTATTCACCATCTCGGCTGGAGCCCAGGCCTCTTGACAGGTCCGGCCACCCAGGTTCTTGCCTGTGCCCGGCTCTGGTCTCTTCCCTGCCCGCCCAAAGCCATTTTCAGGGAAGATGGAAATTACTCCACAGGGACAGGTGCATACAAGAAAGAGAGCAAGCATCTGTGTGTTTCTGGGCCCAGCGTGTGCAAATGGAGGGCAGCTGGGGGGGCACCACGGCTGTGTGTGGGTGCGAGGCCGCACACAAGGGCACAGGTGTGTGCAGAGAGCAGGTTCTGGTCTTGCACACCCCCTTGATCCCAGAAGTCAGGTTTACGAAGAGCAGGACACATGACTTCCCGGGGGAACCCACACTTAACCAGGGGAGAAGGAAAGAATGTGAATGGCACCCGCAGTGGCCTCCCCAGGAAAAGCGCACATTTCCTGGCTCCTGGGGACTCTCTACACCTTGCCCAAGCCCGGGGAAACCCCATCTTTCAAACCGGACCCTTGGCCTAGTCCATGTGCCTTACCCCAGGATCTGGGCTCTGTGACCTGCAGTGCAGGTCTGAGCCCCCAGTGCAGCCGTGACATGGGGCCAGGGGGGATGCTGGGGGTCAGGCAAATGGGTCCTGACGGGTCAAGAGGGACTCCTGTAACTTGTTTCACACTCGGCCTGAGCTTTGTAAACAGAAATCTTAGGGACAAGAGGCCGGCTCTTGCCCTGCTGCCTGCTGAAGGCTTCAGCTTGACCTGGAAACAGAGGGAGGAGCCCACAGGAGAGGAGTGCAGGGCCGGGAGGCTGCTCGGGGTTTGGTCTGCCTGTCCCCCAGGCCCTTGCGAACAGCAGGCCACAGAAGCCAAGCGGCTGTGATGATCTGGAAACTCAGAAACTCCTGGCCATGGGGCACAGGGCTGCTGTCAGACAAACTGCGTTTGTGTTCTTGCTCCCCACGACTCATCGGCGTGTGAGTCTCAACGGTGTCAGCCATAAAATGGGACAATTATTCCCTTCTCTCTCCTCCCTCTCCAGCCTGACTAATCCCGGAATTCCCAGGACCCAGCACGGTGCTTGGTGCACACGGGAGGGCCCTCCTGTGTAAGCGTCACCACTCGGGAGCAGTGGCCAGGATGCCCGGACCCTCTGTCGCCTGCGTGTAGGGTGGTGTCAGGACACTGCTGGGCTGCCACCCCTGTCTGAGGTTCCAGAGAGCGAGGGGACACCCCACACTGTGAACGTGCTGCAGGGTTTCAGTGCAGGCTCTGGAGTGCAGCGGCTGGGTCACCATGGGCAATGACCTGAATTACTCCTGGGCCTCAGTTTCCTCATCTGTAGAATGGGTAACTTAATATTACGTAGGAGATAGGGCTGCCGTGGGGTTTAATGGAGACGATCCATCTGAGTGCTCGGCACAGCACCGCTCCCGTTCTTATTGTGACTATTGCCAGCATTGCTATTACAGAGCCTGAACCAGCAGGGAAGGACGCTGGTGTCCCGTTGCTCTCTCCCAGGGCGGGAGGAGGCAGACCTCCGGGGCGGGACTCACCGTGGCATTGACGGTGAGCTGGTAGGCCTGCGTGGTCTCGTAGTCCAGCTCCCGGACCACTGTGACAATGCCGCGGGCGCTGTCGATGGCGAAGAACGGGGAGGGGGGCTGGAAGGAGTAGAGGACGCTGCCCCCTGCACCCAGGTCGGGGTCTGTGGCATTCACGATGAAGATGGGCGTCCCCACCGGCGTGTTCTGGGGGTGAAGCAAAGCAAACAAAAGGGTGAGTGGTGCTCGGAGCAGCTAACTTTGTCGGTGACTATTCCCCCAAAGCCCATTAACCACGTCCCTCCAGCCAACCAGACCTGCGGCTTTGTCATTTTTATTCTAAGAGGGTTGAGAGAAATTTAAAATGCAGTATCTATTTTTTTTCCCCTTTTTTTGATGGCCTCCTGGTGGCTATAACAACACCAGTTCTAAAGATGATCTGCTCATCCTGGCGTTCTGGATGAGGGCCTTTTGGTCCCCAAACCCCTATTTCTTGGCGGTGTTGCTTCCTCTGTGGAATGCCCCTGGGCTGCCCATGCCTCAGGGCTGGGGCTGCTCTGGGGGGCCCCCGGGAGTCTGCGTGTCGGGAGGCTTTATGGGCGGGTTGCTGAGAGGTGTGTGCCGCAGGCAGGTGGCAGGGGGCCTTGAGGGCTTTGCCTGGCCCCACAGAGGTTCCTTGGATTGCCCTGGGGAAGGGCATCCACATGCCATCCCGGGTCGCAGCAGCCTGCCACGAGAGGCCCACAAGACCCACTCGAATGGTACCACCTCCTGGGAGCCTACCGTGATTCCCTCTGCTACACACTGTGTATAGACCCCTGCTCTTTTCTGACTTGGGGTCTCTGGTTAAATGTTAACTTCCTCATGGAGCCTTCCCAACCCCTAAGGCAGGTCAGCCCCTGCCATGCCCCCACCCTCCACCACTGTTTATACTAAGGTTCCCACCTCGCCCAGGGGATTTTCATCATCCGCCTATCTTCTGTAATTCCTTGGTCAGTGCCCGTCTTCCCTCACCACACAGGTACCCCACGGAAGCCACAGGGCTCCAGCTGCCTAGCCTAGCTCCGTGCCTGTCACACGGCAGGTGTTCCATCCATAGCCTTTCTGAAGACGCTGAGAGCCCTCAGCGCACGCTCAGGCTCTGTGTGCATCTCTGCCCGACTGCCGGCTCTCATCACCGCAGCACCCACCTCAGTGCCCGACATGGAAGCCGTGCCTGTGGAATACGGGGTGAGGGGATTTATTCATAATTTAGCAGGCTGTGGGCACACCGGCAGATAGGCAATCCGATGAGGCTCTTCACAGAGACAGAGGGTACAAACAATCCCTGCTCCCGCTGACTGAGTGTCCTTTGAAAAGGAAGCTAAGGCTTAGAGAGGTTAAGTAACTTGCCCAGGTCACACAGCTAAGCAGTGGGAGAAGAGGGCCTGGAGTTCAGGGCTGGCTAATTCTAAGCCACTGATCTTATGCTCTGTACTGAACACTTCTCCAAAACACTGAGGGCAGTTCTTTCCCTACCTCCTCTGTATGGTGCTGAGCTCAAATGCCCCCAGGGGTGGTACCTCCCAGCCAGCAGCGTGGGACTAGCCCGTTCGGTCCCTCACGGCACAGATAATATTCCTGGCCCTGTGTTTATTCCCACTGGGATGATGACTGGGTCCCTTCGGACATCTGTAGGGCTCTTTTCAAGGAGGGCACCCACACTGCTGCCTCCTCCCCGTGCTGCTGGCCATGACCTGGGCCCTGTGTCATTGCTTTGAGCAGCTTCTGTCCCTGGGTCATGCTCGCAGCCCTGTCCCGGGATCATCTGCTTGAGGCAAGGGTGTTCTTTATAAGACCCCCCTGTCGGGCTGGAAAGGGCTTCTGGAGAACAAGGCTATGGAGCTGCCTCTGTTTCTTTCTGAGTGTGCTGACTCTCCCCCATCACTAGACAAGTGCCAAGCTGAAGGGACGGGCTCCTAATCTATCTTCCCATCAACACAGAGGACAGGAGGCCCGTCTCCTCCACACCATCCATGACTCCCCAGTGCCCCTTGCATAGAACACAGGCCCACATGGTCTGGCCCTGTCTCCTCCTTCACACTTTATTTCCTGGCAGGCATCCCTTCTTGACCTCTTGGCTAAGATCATGTGTAGCATCTATTTGTATTGGTTTAATATTTTCTGGTAGGTAGAGCTATTTGTACTTCTCAAACCCAGCAGGCTGCCTCACACCTCGGGGCTTCTGAACCTCCTTTTCCTTTGCTAGGCCTTCCCTCCTCAGCTCGGTGGCTTGGAAAACAGATGCTCTCTTTCCCTCCAGAAGAGAATCAAGTGTGCAAGGGGGCAGAGCGGACAAGTGCCAGGATTTCAGGGATCGACAGACTCTGTTGGAACCCCAGCCTTGCTGTGTGTCTTTGGGTTACTTAATCTCTCTGATCCTTAATCCCTTCTCTGTCCACTGAAGTTAATAATATCCCATAGGGTTAGGGTGAAGAGAACATGAGCTCCTGAGTGCAAATTCCCCAGCATATAATAAATGCTCAGAAATGGGCAGTTGTAACGTTGTCATCTTGTGCCTTCTGGAGGACTGCAGACAAGAATGCCTTCGAGGGGAGGGCAGGCAGGTGTCAAGAAGCACTATGAATATTAATGATAATACTGTGCTGGGCATTCCCTGTCTGCACCCCCCAGATCACTGAGTACCCTGCTCTGTGTCCCCCTCCCCACCCCAGGGAGACCTCAGTGGATTGCTTCCAGCCCCAGGTTCCCTTGCAGGCTGGCTTCTGCCCAGGGAAGGTGCTAGTAGGAGCTCAGAGTTTGGGAAAGAGGAGGAGAGTTTGGGTATTACTTTTCCACTCCTTCCAGCTCCAAGTCAGCAGCCCCTGCTCCTTGGCCGCAGCCTTCAGTGGGCTCCCTAAGCCCCACTATCCCCTCCCCTTCCCCCTCCAGCCCTAGGAGTTCCTGCTGGTCCCAGGTGCCTCAACATCCCTTAATGCCCTGTAGCCCTGCCCACCCTCTGTCAGGGTCTCTTCACTGAAATGCCTTTGTTGGAATTGAGATGAACTGTTTCCTGGGGGACTTGATGGGTGTGGGCACTCTGCAGATACACACCCTGGGCCACCAGGTGCAGAGCCCCGAAGTCTGAGCTCCCCTGGTGCTGGGCTCGGTGGAGCCAGCCCCCGCCCCAACAAGCTGCCACGATGGCACTGGTTTTGAGATCTTTACAAGTCTCTCAGCTAAACTACAGTTCTCCTGCTTCCCCCTGCCCTCTCTAGATCCTATATGCGCATCACACGTGAACACGGGAGTCAGCCCCACACTCCAGAACAAAACATTCCAGTAGGGCCTGGGGTTTCTGCCACAAGAGGGAAGGACATGTCCCAATTTCAGAGCAGCCAGTCCCCCGGGAGGCAGCTCGAAAGCATGTCAGAGCACATCCCACAAGGAGCCAGTACCCAGAGGAGAGGGATGGCTCCCACGAGAATGTCAGCTCTCCAGGCCCCTGCCTCGGGGAGGAGGGGACATTTCACCCATGCATACCTCATGGTCCGGGGCAAAGGCTCTCTGGGCAACTGATCAGACGATTTAAAAGATGCAAGAAGACAAGGAAAAAGGGGAAAAAGAAGGAATGGTCCTGTGTCTGACCTTCTTAGATTATGTTTCATGCCCTGCAGTGAAAACCCATTTAATTTCTGCATAACTTAGAAAAGGTTTTAAATGGGCCTGGCAAAGAGCCATTCATATACTTAGAAGGGACAAGCCATTGGAGAGAAAAGAATGCTGACTTCCTGCATTTCAGATCCTGGATGCCATGCTCGATCGGGGATATGGGGGCGCGGCACTCATCAGCACCTACACTGGGGGGCTTTTCCAAGCACCCAGCTGCTGCTTCATGCAAATGTGCAGATGTGTCCCTTTGAAGGTCTACACCTTCCACGTGAGCAGATTTCCTCTATGGGCTTCCGAGTATACTGCAGACAGTAGAACTTGGTGGCTCAGAGCATGGCCTCTGAGTCGGACTCCCTAAGTTTGAGTCCGAGCCTTTCTACGTACTGGCTGGAGACCTCAAGCATATGCTGAGCTCCCCTGGTGCTGGAGCTTACTCTTTCAGCCTCAGTTTCCCTGTGTAAAGGAAAACCTAAGAATGGAGCTGTTAACAGTACCTACCCCCAGGGTTGTGAGAAAGAATTACGCGAGACAAGGTGGGGGGGCGGGGGGAACTTCTCGCTGAGCCAGGCACTTGGCAATATTGAGCAATACTCAATAAATGGCCGTTGCAATTATTATTATGGTAATAAAATACCATCACAAGCAGCGTGAGATGAGTTCTATTTAAAGGGGGGTATTAAAAACAGCCAATCAATCTCTTTATCATGAACTTAGACAAATGGGCATTTTAAAATTCAGAAAGAGACCGTCTCTGTTGATTAGTTCATGGCTGCTGCAGAGGGGTTCAGGGTGGGAGAACTTTGGGAGACCCTCCCCAGGGGGATTGGGGGGCCTGAGGAAGGCATGGGAGGGGCGCCTGGAGGCAGCTCCTGAACATGGAGGCCAGGCCTGACTGTGCACCGCTCAGGGATGGTTTGAGTGTCGGAGCAGGAAGGAGCCTTGGGGATTATCTAGTCCTGTCTCCCCAGATTACTGATGATAAGAGTGAGGGGCTGTGCCTGGCTCTAGGTCTCCCAGGCGGTGAGAGGCAGAGCCACGACCTCAAATATGATGCCTTGCCTTATATATAGCACTTTCTTCACGCTACCCATAGATGTTAACCACTGCCTCCCTGCCCACACTTTTCCCAAGTAAAGATGCTCTTTACACCCACAGTTCTGGGCGGCCAAGTTTGTACCAAGTGACTTCAGACCTATGCCACATCTGAGGTAATCACCTGACTCAAATGGGCCAATCAGATGGGGCCTGGCCCTGTTAAATCCATTTTCTGCAGAACCTGAAAAAGAAGGTTCTTGCTATGTGGTTAGGGCTGGAGTGGGCACCATGGCAAGCCGAGCGCCACACAGAAGCCACCATTTCCGGGGTGGCAGAGAAGCCATGGGTGGGCCGAGGAAGCCCAGCTGCAGTGACAGTTAATGGAGCACAGTGAGGGAGAAAAGCAGAGACACACGCCTCTGAGGGCCTCCCCTGCCCTGGTCTTCACAGGCCCTGTCTGAACTTCGCTTCCTGTCCCTGGCTGTGGTGCAGAGACCCCATGTGGGCTGTCCTTCCTATGG